TGATATAGAATCATTAATTACGTATACAAACCTTATAAAAAACGTATCATTTCCTTATTTTGATTTCTTATAGGGATTCATTTGCTCTAATTTTTTTTGCATGTGGATCATAAAATCCATATCCGCCTTTAGTCCATTCCTCGTATCCAAGTTGTTTGCAAGGAACTTGCTACATCTGATACATACTAGTGTTAGGGTATTCTTCTGCCAATATTTATATAATAGATTATGCAGAAGAATACCCTAAATATCACCTATTAGATTACATACTAGTGATAGGATAGCCTCTTCTAATATTTATATAATGATTACAGAGAAGGCTACCCTAAGTATCACCTATTAAGAATATGTTTATTTACGATTTGCTCACTAAGTTCAGATGAAGCCTTCTGCTATTTTTATATAATATAATTCTGCAGAAGGCTTCATGTCACATCCGACTACATACTAGTGATAGGGTAGGTAAATGCCAATATTTATATAATAGATTACGCACTTACCTACCCTTATATTTGCCTATTAAGAACATGCATATTCACATTTTTTTACCATATTGTTATACATCTCTTTTTACAACCATCAAAAAAAAAATTAAACATTTCCGATTTATATAAAGTTATATAATTTCTTTCAAACTGATAACATGTATACACCAATTATTTCTGATCAAACTGATTGTACTGGATCTGGCCCAATACTCGCCCACTACGACAGTGCTGAGTCTGATGAATACTTAAGTGACTCAGATGATTATAATGATAATGAATCTGATTTGGATCAGATGCTTATAATAACTACAAGTCTAATTATGAATCTGATAATGAAGAAGCTTCTTGTGTTTCAATCAGCATTACCGAGACTCCATTAGTTCAGCTTCCAAATATACAAGAGTGAAATGTTAATACAATATATACTTTAAGGAAGGAAAAGTTTAATGATAAATTTTCTCCTAAAGATTTGGTAAGTGCATTCGGGAAATTCTCTCATTACCACCTAGAGATATGTCAGATGATAAAGGCTCACTTGATTACTTTCCAATCTATTCATTTCTCTTTTCGAATGAAAAAGGGTCTAGTTTATATAATGCTTATGATCAGGATCAAGTAGATAATAAATTAGTTATCAAAATTGACCAAGATGGTGATTGTGTCCCAAAGTTTCTGTTGCAGATGACATTTCAGAAGTATATGGTTTACCTGGGATTCACGAATGCATTAATGGCCAAAAGCCTTTAAGAGCTGTGATTGATATTGATGCGTCGAAAGAAGATATGGAAATAGTTAGTGTTATGGGACAGGAAGTATTTATTTGATCTGTTACTCTTTCGTAAGAGCTTTGTATTGAATTCTTGACTGTAGTTGGAAAGATATTCTCAAAGGGTTAGTAATTGCTTCGTCTTCAGATTCTAGTATATGCAGTTATCATATTTTATATGCACTGGTTCTACTTATTGATCATAATAAACTTAAATCATTCACAGAATTGGTATATACCTTAACAGATGAAAAATATGGTAAGTTTATTGATCAAAAATTATCTGGTCAAAATTTTAACCTTCGTCTTATCGGTTCAGCAAAAAAAGGACGTGTGAAGCGTATCCTTCAGTTTTCACTAGATAATGGGTGGAATGAACTTGA